CACTGTGTATGTAGGTCACTCACTGACATGGCTAACTGGAACACTTGATGGAACGAAGCCATTGTTAATGTTATCGTTTACACCTTTTCCTGCTTTGACAAGTTAAAATGTCTGCTGGGAAAAGGGTCTATTGACCCTGGTAGTTCTGTTCATTTCAAAAAGACTTTTACATTGTTTCCTTTTAGTTTCCTAGGCCCTGTTCTTAAAATGTGGTTGAACTAACTCAGGTTAATATCAGTCTAAAATATTTATTTTTATTCTCAACCAGCTAAATTAAGGAACTGGACATAGTTTTAGGATTGAGGAAGTTATCTTGAGTAACTGTGTGCTTTTATTTTGAAATAAAGGCAAACTGACTAGAGTGTTGGAACCATGATTAGCATTCATATGATCGGCTGAGTGCTGATCATGTGAGTGCAGGTACATCCACATGCACTAGGGCAATAGATTCATCACTCATTTTATACGTTTTGTTGTACAAATAACATTTTCCCATTTTAATGTCTAATGTCTATGCTCAGGCTTTTAACAGTCAAAATGTTTTAATTGTGTTTATGTCTTTTTGGTTGAATTGTTTATTTCTTATTTTACTTAAATTTTATTTTGCATTATCATATCAGGTATCATAGGTTGGTAATTACACCAACTGATCATAGTAATTTTACAATAACGAGCATGTTCTCATCTAAAATCATATTTATATCAACATCCTTTCATTATAAATCTAAGACAAGTCATTTGTATCTGAAAATAAGTTCATATGTGGGATTCAAAACGTCTTGATCCCGCAATGAGTTCCTCTTGTGCTGGTTTAAGGATTGGTGACTTTGGAGTTGGTTTAAAATCTATCTGCAGCTGTTGTGACATTGTGTTCACACTGGCTTTTACAAATGGACCAAGAGCTGTAAGCATGAAACTATATGGACTTACAGGTAACTCAATGACTGGACAGTTTCAGCGATGTCATCATCCCGCATCAACAATACTACATGGACTCACATTGGAAAACAAAATCTAGACTGACAAAAGTTGCAACCTACTTTTTGGATAATATATATTTTGATGTGTCAAAGGTGAATGAAATAATCACAAAGACTGCATTTTTTAAAATAAAATGAACAAGGTCAAATTTGAAAGTGACAGGACTCACTAAATAGGGGGAGAATAAGGGCGTTAATCTTCCTTTCTTTAATCACATTCAGGGTTTAAGTCTGGACTCTATCTGTTCAAAAAGCGACAAAATGTAATATTCAAAGTGTGATTAAAGTACTGTGGTGAGAGCCAAAGGTTAGGGCTTGGGAATAGGCGATTAATCAAAATGCACCAACACACAGGACGACTCCTTTTTCCCCTCAGCAAATGTTATCATCAGGTATTAACCCCTGCAGCGTCACGTGAGGAGCAGGAGGTCGTGGTGACAGAGGAAAGTGTCACTGAGTGAGTGTGAAAAGAGAATATGAAAAAATGACTTCACTTGAATAGCTAACAGCTTCAACATGACATTTAATATCACACACGACATATGAAAATATTTAATGATGGACTAATGCTGACGTAACAGGCAGAAAATATCTCATCTTCTCACACAACGGCTGTATTTAAAATAAGAAAACCAAAAACACACAAATTCATGAAGCTCTAAAACAACCTACTTAAACATTGTTAAATTAAGTTTCATATCCTGCTAAAGTACCACATTCACATCTTACACCTTCCTATTCAAAGACAAAAAGAAGATGTGTGTAATAGGACAGTTTCAGGTTTTTAACACCAACTTGGACTATTTGGAAAAAAGGATTCATGACATAAAATGAAGTTAATATGATGGAAAATCTGGCTTAACCCAAAAAAGGGACCTGTTTACCTGTTCAAACACAGCTCCTCAAAAATAATTTAATGAAAGGTTGTTGGAGGGTGTTTTTTTTTTTTTTTTTTTTAAGTCCCAAGAAAATAGTTTTGAATTATGAATTAGAGTTAAAAGAATCAAATCAGGATAAGTTAAATTACAGAGCCTGTTTGTTACAGAATTAAACATGATGCAAAATATGAAATGGACATACAATGACACAGGACTCTTAGAAACTGAAACAAACTACAAAAAAACACTAAAAATGACATTTTGTTTGTCTGTGTAGTAATGAATAATGTTCTGGGCATACTGTGTGAATCAATGAGTTTATGTGTATTTTTGATGTATTCTGAGGTGTGTTGATCAATCAGCCACCAAAGTTAAACTATTATATATTATAACTATTATTATACTATACAAACAATCACTTTGGACAGCATTGTGCCATAAAATCTGAATCTTCTGAGCACAGACACGTCGTCCTTCTGTTACTGACAGTTCATGCCTGATGTGTTTGATCAGATCAGAACCAGTTTAATACATCTGACAGACATTTACAGACACCAGCAGCAACTGGTAGGGTGAGCAGATCTCCACACAACATGTCACTAGTAAGTTCAGACTACAAAACTATTAAACACAACGATACACTGAAGTTTAGCTTTACAGAGGGACTGATGTGCCTGCCCTCTAGTTTGGTTCTGGGCTTTGGTTTTAGGTAAAAGTGTCGTAAGCACAAAGTCTGAATAAAGTGTATCATTTCATGTCTCAGCTTAATGGTCGCACTGTAAAAAACAGAATAATGAGTACATTTTCAGAAAATTTGGTAAATTATCAATAAATATGTTGGTATGACTAACTAATGGTACTTATTAATGGTTAATATATTGTTTACGAACATTTTGCGGCTCAAGCTATTAATAACTATGACTTTTGGGTTGCCAGGTTGTAGAAAATCCTCAAATCATTAGTGAGAGCCACCAAGTCAGCAGCTATAGATGCTGGTGAGCCTTTAATAAAGGTTACTACGATAATCCATCAAGTCTGCAGTTGTACATGTTCATCGGCAGATTGTAAATGGATTTGGGTCCAGATGTCCTGTAGTGCTTTTCCAGAAGTGGTCAAACAGTCCAGTGGGGAGGAGGGGTCTCCCTAATGAATTAAAGAACTCCCTAACAAGACAAGCAAAGTTTCATGCTGGAGGAGGATTTAAAACAACCTGGCAACCCAAAAGTTGTTCGTATTAATGGATTATAACTGATCTGAAAAGTATTAGTAAATGATTTATTGACCAGTAATAGAGCCCTTAATTACATCTTCTAAACCCCAAATAAACCCTTTTAAGTCTAAGTCTGCAGACCTATGGTCTAATTTCCTTTCTGTGTACAAATTTACACACATATAAATAAATACAAATAAGCACAATGTTATTTCTGGCTTCTTTGGATTATCAGACTCCTATGAGATGACCAAATGAGTTTTCCCCTTTCACAGCCTGACAGTGCTGGATAACATGCTTATCTGCTTTGCCACACACACACGCACGCACGCACGCACACACACACACAAACACACAAATACACAAACACACACACACAAACAAATACTCATGGCTTCCTTCTTGAGATACAAAAAACTATCTTAAAACCAAAAATGGCACCAGTATGCACACTTGTGGAAACACACCGTTTATTTAAAGCCGATGATGTGAGCAAATGTACGCTGGCTTATATCATATCACGTCCTGTCATGTCAGGACAGGAACATTCAGTGATGACAAAGAGGTCCACGCCATACGGACAATGCCAGTCACATGTGGGGCAGCAGGGTTTGATTCACTGTATTTGAAAACAGAGAAGTCACCAACAAATACAGGGGATTTTTGGATCCAGAGAGGCGGAAGTGCGACTGGCACAACAGACTAATGTTTGCAGCAGACGTAGGGAAGTGAGAGACAACTTAAAGAGAAATAAGTAAATCATGTAAACCACATTACAATATCTACATCCCTCTGACAGGTCCTGTTTGTCACTATATACTGTAGGTTTGAAAAAGACAATGAATGTAATTTATGCATTTTAAGCATTGAACGATGAAGCTGTTTGTTACATTTCTGTCGGTTTGACAGCAGGTGTGTGAAAACATGAAGAACACAGCAGGTCTGACATTCAGCTGAACCACCTGACTGATCATTCAATGTTTATGGTTTTAAACTGAATATATTTGGGTTATAGACTGTAACTGTTAGTTTCAACTTCTGTACTAGGAAAGAAGTTGAGTTCAAATTTGTTTATATCAAAGTTCTTGAAAGAATTTTGTTTGCTTCACTTTGTTTATTAGACACAAACATTAAAATTGTGCCAAAATTAGTCACTATATCATCTTCATCTGTTCCCTGTTACTCAACTCAACCTCATTTATACGCGCGCACACACGCACACGCAACACTTTCTCTCACACACACACACAACATCAGCACACACACACACACACACACACACACAACACACACACACACACACACACACAACACACACACACAACACACACCACACACACACACACACACACAACACACACACACACACACACACACACACACAGATCAAGTTCCACAGCAGAGCCTCAATGATTAGTTGATTAATCAATTAGTTAGACTGAAAGTCTAACACACACAAAGGTCATGCATATTATAGTGGGTAGATAAGACTTTGGGGTTATGGACTTGCTAGTTGGATAAAAACAGATGTTTCCTGTCGTCATTTGTGTACAAGGACAATGTGATTTTTTTAATGTTTTACACACCAATCGATTACTCAATAACTTAAGAAAACCGTCTGCAGATTAATCAATAATGACAATAATTGTTAGTGGCAGCCCTATACAGCCAACTGCACAAATGAACACAAAGGGTTAATAAGTTAAAACTACACAGATAAGAATGTAAGTGCTCAGAATAATGAAAAGTTTGTACGTCTGCAGTTACGTAATAACACAACAAACCACATCTGACTGAGGAAGAACAAGCGAAGTCCGTGGACATTTGGTTAACATTGTTTTTTCATCATTTTAAGTGTCATACTATGAGGCCTGAGCATCAGACCATAAACTCACTAATCCTCCACCCACAGAAACTCACTGGTCCACTTACTTTCTGTGTTGCAGTCGCTTCTTGCTGCGTTGGGTCGTTGTTGACATGTCACCCGTGGGAGCGAGGGTCTTGTTTTGACAGTCAGAAGACAGACTCATGTCAGCAGCTCTGATGTTAAACAGCTCCACCAGCCTCACAGCCGCACTGTCACAACCATCAATGACACACACACTCTCTCTCTCTCTCTCTCTCTACACAGCGTCTCTCCCTTCCTCTACTTCCTCTCTCAGTGTGGCTCTACCGAGGGGGTCACGCTTCGCCTTTTGACTATTTCCTGTCGTCTGCCCGCCCTGTGGGAGCAGACATGACCCTGTGACATCACATGAAGACTCTGCATAGACCCGGCCTTGTAATATGAACCTGCCCATTTCCTGCACTATCCAATATGGGTAAAGATTCTGGGAGGACAAATCAAATTTCCCTAATATCCATCATCTATTAAACCCTTCCACCTCCTCTTCAAATAATTTGATTCACCAACCTACGCGTGTGAGCCCTCGGGTGCTCTGTTTTCTAAAGGGATGAGGGAGAGGTGAAGCGTAACCCCACTCACAGATGCTCTGAGAAGTCGCATTCAGGCTGTAACCTCTGCAGTAACAGTCTGTTCAAGCAGCCTCACACAAATCAAATCAGCTGAGTCACATATCATCTACACTTCCGTCAGTATCATCGACTCACTGTTGAGAGCGATCCAAACATCTTCAAACTTCTTGACAGAGAAACACTTCGGAGCTTTATGGATACATCGGACACATGTTGGTATCAGTGTATGTGTCATCAAATGAGAAAAAAGAAATCACAGTAAAGAAATCTCATATTTCGGTTTGATTTAGTTTAGAAACAGTTCGATGTTGAGAGCACTTCAGCTGTAAATTGTTCCCTTCAGCAACTGTCATAGTCACAATATCTAAAATGTTCGTATGGATACCAAATATCTTTGTCAGATCAGCCTCCTTTCATTCTGCCTTTTTATTACTTGAGTAACAGTGAAAAAGTCAGCAAATGATGGAGGCTGAATCCAACATGTATGTCTGAACCACATGTCGCCATAGCAACAATCTCTATAGATCAATATAGACATTCATACAGTACTGCAGCATTAGGCTGCACAAACAGTTATCTGACTACCTTTTAGGACCTGGACATGTTCACAGTTAAAATGAGACTGAGCAATGAAGCATGTGAGCAGCAGATTATTTTTCTTTCAATCAACTAATCGATTGATCATCTGAAGTCAAACCAACCAGCTTTGTTTGTTTATCCTTTCTTGTGATTATTTATAAACCTCAGAGCCAATTAACATCCATAATAACTTGTTTTCCTTGGGGATTCTTCACTATTTTCAATTATCTCCTCATTAACGTTCCTGAACCATCGACACTATAACAGTTCAGTGTCGAGGCTGCGCCTTAAGATTTATTTTCTACCTCAGCTCAGTAAACAATCCGACACATATGGCTTCATGAATCATCTTCGTCTGCCTCCATTGTGTCCTGCAGCTTCTGTTACCAGGCAGAGTTCATCTGCAGGTAGAAACAGCTGAGTCACTGCAGCTCTTTATGTTGGCTGTTACTGACAGGCTGGAAGGCCAAATGTGGTGCAGGCGATATTTCACCAATAAATGATCACCTCCTACATCTGCATTGTGATTTATTGTTGTTGTTCACTATTTTTTTGCTTCCTTCAACCTCTTGTTTTGACTTGTCAGACTTACAAAATGCTCAATCATTAAACCAAATCAATAATCAGAAGCAATTTCTCCTAAGACAGTGGCAGTAATGTTGCTCCTGCAGATGTGAGTGTGGGTGTAGAGGAACACATGCAGACCGATGTGTCCTACAGCACAGGAAGACAGTGGGGGAGCTGCAGGCTTTGTGTCAGCTCGTCCTTGGCAAAGGGCGATCTTTCACTCACTCACACAGTTTTTCATAACAACAATGTGTATGTCTCCATGCAGATGTGTACGGACAATTGTTAATACATCAAACATTAGAAAACACTATCAGTTCATGATCTGAAATCTCACTTTTGATTCTACACGTCATCAGTAGACGCACACTGGATGAAAAAAAAAAAAAAAAAAAAAGGAGCTTGTTAGCTAAAGTGCTAACAAAGCACAAGCCTTTGTAGTCTTTTGGGACAACTGCTGGGGCAGGGGCTGTCAAGCAGAAATAGTTTGATTGGGAACAGGACAGTGCTGCACTGTACTGCAGAGAGACTGCAGCACAGGTCCAGCCTTCAGAGCTGGAGTACAGATATATAGATGTTGAAATGATGTCGATTTTCAGTATCGCTTTATCCAGTTTCATGCACATTCCCAAAGCTGGAGAATTATTTTGAATGACTGTAAGCTGGTGATTCAGACTATTTTACAGAATTTAAATAATGACTGAAGATAAGAGGACACACTGAAATGCAAATTCCATACAGTGAATAAAAACCATGAAACCGAAATGTTAACAAGCCTAACATTATAAATCCTCTTATTCCTCATCCCCAGGAGGCAGTCAAGGTTGGGCCGGACTCCAGAGTCCTGTAATAATGATGCTACACACCTCCCCACTACGCAGGTGTCGTCTTCTCTCTAATGTCAAGAGCTGCTTTAACCTAATCCCCTGAAAACCCCAGTGAAGGCAATAAAATTCACCCAGGGGCTCCTTGCTGAGAGCTCTCACTGAGAAGCTTTAGAGAGTCTTTAGTCTGAGTCCTCGTGGCCTTTTCAGAAACAATGAATAAATGAATAACTACATTTGACATCATGAGGGCGGCACAGACCAATGACACAAGGTGACTACGTGTTCTACGTTTTTTTGTCTATTTACATCGTAGCGCTACGATTCACCACACATTCATTGCACAATTTGACACGCCTCAAACCGACATCGTACAGTCTGACGGAGGCCACTTCAAAACGATTACGTTGCCCAAACTTTCACATTTTTATTGTTGGAATTTTTCATTGCAAAATTTTCTGGTCATGTTTAGTCCACACTGTTATTATAAACAATTTGCAGTGCTGTAGTAAGTTATTGCAGATAATTGTTTTTCACCAAGAAAGAAATTCCTCAACAGCAACAAATGTGACAAGATGTCAACTCGGTTCAAGTTTTATTAGTGTGAAACTACAAAGACGTGTTCATGGAAAAATGTGGGAGATTACTGCTTCTAAACCTGAACCCAATACTGTAACATGAACATTTTTCTCACATAGCTCTCAGAGCACAAGTACATACACAAGTCGGAATGAAGGAAAAGTAAGTCCCAAAGTTTAGTCCCAAAGTGATTCATCAGATCAATGAAAACCATGCTGGTAGTTTACTTGTCATTCGTGACAATGAATGTCATGAAGAGAGCTGAGTCTCTGTTTTTCAGTCTGTACAGTTGAGCTTTGGGACAAACAGAAGTCAGTAAAAAAAAGTCACAGTGAGAACAGTTCACAGTGAGAGCACGGCTGTATTTTCCCATGAAACCTACAGCACAGCGAGCCGCTGCTATTTTCTGAGGAGCACCGAAGGGACTCCCTATGGTCTCCAAATAACACTCTGGCACTTTCATTTTGCATTCCCCCTCTTCTCTTTTCTTCCCATCTCCACTTCCTTTTCACTGAAGTAATGCTCCATCACAGCACCGGGCACTGCAGTTGGACATTTTTTGTTTGGATGTAAGCTCCATTCCCCAGTCCCACAAGTCAATTTTCCACGGAGGTCTTGTCTGACTAGTGAAAACCATCTTAAATCCTCCTTTTACATGGCAATCCTGCCCCTCCTCAGGATTTGGACGTAGGTCAGAAAAAGATTCCCTCTAATATCCACACATGGTTTTCTCCATGAGGAAACATCACAATGATTATAGGAGGGTGCAACACTTTCTTGGGAGACTATAACTCTTTTTAAAGACTTAGTAACTCGCATAAATTTACTTGTGTCAATTCAACATTTCTGATATGTGCTGTGTGGCTACATTGATGAATTATGAGAAAATAGACCCCTGGGCACAGACAGGTAAAAAGTCCCCCATCCCTCTAATATAGGACCCATTGCCTCTACTTGGGATCATTTTGGTAATTTCGTGTCTCATTGTGTTGTTTCACGTCTTTGTAGTAATTTTGCCCTTCTTTGGGGTCAGTTTGCATCTCTTTGTAGTCATCATGTTGTATCTTTTAATTGTACTCTATGGCTTTCAAACAAGAAATATTAGCTGTCAGGCCATATAGAGGCTCTGGCCAAGGGGCTCTCTTACCTCTCAGGCCAGCAGGCCTGTTCGTTAATCCATTACTGCACAGACATCCCACTTAATGATAGTACACTTAGAAAGAAATGCAAAGTGTTGCTTTTATTTCCAGCTACAGCACAAAGTGCATGAATATGCAAATAAACAAAAGGTGTTAAATAAGTTCACACACATAAATACACAAAAAAAAAAAAAAAAAAGAGAAATGAAAAAATGTCAAAACTTAAAAAAATCCTTCATTCGTGCTGAGGCAGCCAGATGTAACTCCCACACACACAGACACACACACACACACACACACACACACACAGTGGACTTTGTCCTGTGTCCAGATACCCTCCTCAGATTTCCCATTCAGACATCATTCATGACACTGAGTTTTCCACACAGTGACAGCCAAGCAAAGAAGGAGCGACATGGACGATGCAGCTGGACTCAAAGAAGAGCAAGAGGAAACCGATCAGGTGACAAAACATCAGCTTTTCAAAATAAAATTGTAACTGCTGCATTTCATAGACTTTGAAGAGTCACATAAAAATGTGTCAATGTGCCCAGTTCAGTTAAATGTTGCTCTTTTAACAGCTTTTTTTCCACAGGAAATTTCCCTTGAGGAAAATAAAAACTCACTCAGGTGAGATGAAGCCACAGTGCTCGTGCTAAGTTACCATGTTTCACATTCAGCCTTTAAGTTCAATTTCATGCTTGTGAACTTACAAACTAAAAACAACAAAGCTGCTAACAACAGCAGGCACAATAAGCATACAGTTGGATGTTTGTAAAATATAACTGACTGCTGTGGTGAGCTGATGTTGGCCAATGTACCAACAACAAATATTAGCTCATGTGGCTAACGTTAGCTAGAATATAGGTCATTTACCTGTC